ATAGGGACAGTGTGTATGTGCAGAGTAGAATTCTACATAAGGTTTGCAAAGCTGTGACCTTTCAGAAACAGAACCTTTGGCCTGCCTTCCAAGGCACCTCTGAGTGTGTTCGACTAGTCAACTTTTCAGCTAGTCATTTAACACTTTAACGTTCATGCCACCCAAAAGTTCCATATTGCTACTAGGTTTATTTATGTAAAAAGGCAAAAACAGCTGATTTTAAGAGTGTACATTTCTATTTGTGGATTTATTTTTATCATTTTTTATATACTGTCATCAATGTCAGTTCAAATTCCAGTAATAAGACATTTGGGATTTTAGGGGTTAAAATAATAGGTCATACCATGAAGAAGAACCCTGAATTTTGTTGTACAGCATAACAAAATGCTTAGAAATCCATTTAAAGCAGTCAATCTTACTGTATACTACAGTATATATATGGAGTCCTGTAAGTGCTTGTCTACTAGCTGAAAGATCAATGGTTTGAACACATCAGCTACTTTGGGAGAAGGATGAGGCAATCTGCTTATTTAAAGATTATAGCCTTGAAAACCATATGGAGCAGTTCTACTCTGTCCTATAGCATCACTATGAGTCAGAATGAACTCCATGGCAACTAGTTTATAGTGTATATACTATAGACCATAGTATATGTACTAATATACTATACTCATGGCTTCTTAACATCTCAGCAACACGGCAGCTGACCTCATATTTAAAATGCTGGTAAGCCTAGAGAATGCAATCAATGTTTCCAGAGTTCAATAAGCTAATTTTCCTCCATAATGGTCTACATTTTCACCAGGCCATGAAATTTCTTTTTCTAGGACAATTTACTGCAAGAGTCAATTTTCTATGAGAGTCAATTTACCATGGATTTTTAGTCCATGAGATCTATAATAACTGTGTATTTTTAAAGTGTTTCAATATTTCACCTAAATTTAATATATATATATAAATCAAAACCAAAACCAAAGTCAGTGTCTTTCAATCCTACTTGTAGCAACCCCTCCTTGGGTTTCTGAGGTGGTATCACTATGGAAGTAAATATCCAAACTCAGGAAATTTATCTATAGTGGTGACACATGATAATCTTCCTATTCTCATTTCATTAATTTTAACACAAATAAAAATATTAACAATTTTTTTTGCTCCCACAAACCAAAACCAAACTCACTGCCATCGAGTGAAATCCAACTCACAGTGACCCCTCCTTGGATTTCCAAGGTGGTATCTCTACGGAAGTAGATCGCCCAATCTTCCTTCTGAGGAGTGGCTGGTGGGTTTGAACTGCCAGCTTTCTGGTTAGCAATCAAATGCCTTAGGCATTATGCCACCAGAGCTCCCTGCTCCCATTAGGAAAAATTGTAATAAAAAGGAAGATAAGCCATCACAATCGTGATAATCCCAATTCTTTGAAACTAGTGTAGAAACAATGATAAAGTACAAGTGGAGTACAGTGGAACCTCCTCTGATGAAAACTATTTTTAAAGAACTCTAGTATCTATAGTTTGGAAAGGAAGGTGGGGGGGCAGAGGAGGGCTGTCATATTGTGCGACATACAAAGATCATGATGTTAAAACGGAAAAATTATGAGTCATCTTTATATAACAAAATGAGTAATAAAATAATGGATTTCGTTTCAAGTATTACATTCTCTCTATTCATTAAATGTATTTCAAAACATAAAATTAAATATATTTTTCCATGAAGTGAAAGAGAATGCAGGGCTTAACTATTAAGAAAGTGAAAAGCAAATAAAATCTACCAAATGGGTTTAATATTTAAGACTATTGCATATAGGGATGCATGGATAGATGCCATCTTTTGGCAATTTATGAAATTAATTCATTGTCTGATGATTCATAAACAGCCAGTTAATTTGTACATTTACTGACACTCTGATAATACATGTAGACATTAATAGCCTTAAAACTATGAAATTAAGTTACTTAAAGATATTTAAGTGCATTCTAAGAACTGTTTTAAGTTTTAGAAATGAATTGATTCATACAATGACAACTCTATTAGATTGTGACCAGTAAACGCCACATTTCTCTGAAAGAGTGAAATAACCTAGTCATCTTAGAATCACTGAACAATTGATATTTTTAAAGAAAACTGATTAATAGCACCTAAGGATTACTGTTTAAAAAAATAGAATGTTATCTACTCTTTGCACATGAAGATAATATTATTTATCTAAATGGCCAGAATTCATGTTTTGAGTGGTTTTTCCCCTGAGGATTGGAATAGGTAGAGGCTCTCTCTTCCAGTTCCCTGGGTGTGTGGGCTATACAGAGCTCTTACATGAACGTTAATGACTCTCAACACAATCAAACTTGCAAGCATTTTTATACTATCTAATTAAATTAATCAATTTGTTCCATACTTTACAAGAAGAGTTACTTTTGTGTTGTGATGAGAAGGAGACTCCTGGGGTTCCTGAAAATAGTAATTGAGCAAATATCCTCTGGGCCTTTTAGTCTCCTCCCTTTCATAGAACACCCACTGAAATTCTCCCAGAGGATGCAGATCTAGTAAAGCAGTTTTAAAGACCAAATCTTCTGTATGTGCATGCAAATCACCCTGAAACTTGTTACTATGAAGATTTTGATTAGTAGGTTTTGGGCAAGGTCTGAAAACTTGCTGGTGCTATGGCATGGGCACCACATATTGAGCAGCAAATTTATTGACACTTTCAAGACAGAAATCCTAATTGCTGTAGTCATTTAACAGCAAGAACGAAAACCTCATCTACTTCAAAGTGTTGATCACAAATGCTGAGATACTCGTGTTCAAAAACAATGGAGAATATTCTTGAATGGAACAATCTTAATGATTTTGTCTAGATTAATGTAATCTTATAAATCATCAGATCCAGCTCAGTTATATTCTAGTTGAGGAAACGTAGGGTAAGAAAAGTTGAAAGTGTACTTAACATCATACAATTAAGTAGTAAGATGTGCTCTAGAACCCAGGAACCCTGAGTACCATTGCAATTAAAACACAATATATGCAAACTTTGACATTTCCTTGTATTATATTCTCCCAGACACAAACCTATGCATGAGTCAATAATGATTAGAATTTCACCTTCTAATGCTTACAATAGTTTAAATGATAGCAGTATTCTTGGACTAACTGGCTTTCCAAACTGCTAAAATTCACAGTAGGCAACAAAGTCCCACAATAACAAGAGTATTCACACATTTTCTTTCTTCTACAGTCAGCTTGTGTTTTTATTATGGACATTTTGCTTCTTAATTTTGAGAACCTGGGGAGACAGGTGTTCAGAGATATAAACGGGTCATAAGTTAAAAAGGCAAGGTTTGCATTTGTAAAAGGTTGTGGCAAAGTAAGCAGCAAATAGAAAATAGTGAAGGGCATCAATATTGATCTTGCCTCTCATCTTTCCCTCTGTCCTCTTCCTTGCAGCTTCCTATTGTGTAGTCTTTCAAACAAAGCAGACTTTATTTATGGTGTGACTGATTGAACACTACTAAATCATCATCTGTTTATTTGGTCCAATTAAAATCTGATCATAGTGGAAACCCAGGAATTAAGCTCATTTGAAAACACAACTTCTGATTAATTTATCTAGCTCATCTAGATTTCCTCTTCTAAAGGACAAATTCCAGGGTGACTTGAGTCAGTGGTTCTTTCCAGTTTGCTTAAATGTCTTTCTTTGGCCATCTTTGGTTGAGTCAAACCAAAAACTCACTGCCATGGAGTGGATTTCAACTTCTAACAACCCCCATTGAGTTTCCAAGGCTATAAATCTTTATGGAAGTAGATTTCCCTTCTTCCTGAGGCTGGTGGGTTTGAGCCACTGACTTTCTGGTTAGCACTGTTTAGCAGCCAAATGCCTTATCCACTACTCCACCAGAGCTCCTCAAGTATGTGTAGAAAATTCAGTTCTGCTTTTCTTTCTTTCTTAAGGCGATTGTTAAAACATTTAAAGAAGCTTGCTTAAGATTTTCTTCTAACTTGAAATAGAAAATGCTCACTTAACAGATATAGCCACCATCACACAGTGTATGCCCCTATAATAACATGCTTGCATTATCACTTACTCTTTACAACTGCGAGAGTTAAGTATTATTTTTATCGGTCTTTTGCAGTTGAAGAGTGTTCAGATTTAAACGTTCTAGGAAATCATCTAACATTATTAAGAAGCTACAAAATTAGATGTGAACCCATGTCGGCCTGATCGTAGCGTTGATAATGTTACCCTTACGCTCTGTTGTTGTTAAATGCCGTGGAGTCAGACTCGACTCTTAGCGACCCCTCCTGTTATTTATAATTAGACTAGGACAAAACCCCAAAGAAGGAAAATAAATAAATTGCCTCCACCCCTAACTTTTTTCTTCTCTGTTACACAAATTGTGGGCAGATAGGTGTTCCGTTCCCTATACTTAGCCTCTCCCACGCCCTTGGCAATCTTTCTCTTTTATTGCTGGGAGCGTCAGAGATTGCTACTGCAGCTGGTGAGTGGGCAGGTGCAGCCACCATCTGCTCTAGGAGTCCAAATGCGCACAAGAACTTCGCACCCAGGACCTGTCCCAGTCAGAGGATTTCAGAACAGGCAGGGGACATCGGCTAACCCCGCCCCCTCGCGGTGGCTATTGGTGAACCCTTCCCGAGTGCAAATAACTGATTAAATGAAAGTAGCTGCCCCCCTCGCAAGTTAGGGCGAGACATCTCTTAGGAGGTGACACCCGTCCGGGTGCTTGAATTGGGGCTTCAGTTCTTCCTGCCCGAAGGGTCCTTGAGAAGCCTGTTTGTTTTTCCCGGCTCTTGGCTCCACCCATCCCATTCGCTCATTGGTTAGGCGTGGTAGGCGGATGTGTTCTCATTGGCCGGGGGGCGGTGTCTATCCCTGGCAAGCGTGGGGGCGGGGCCTCGCCGCGCTGAGCTTGCCCTTGTGTCTGGTGCTCGCTAGAGCTGCCGCCGCCGCTGCCGCCACCGCCGCCGCCGCCGCCGCCGCCGCCGCCGCCGCCGCCGCCGCCGCCGCCGCCGCCGCCGCCGCCGCCGCCGTTGCAGCCGGAGCATCCGGGAGCCGCCGCCGCTATTGCCACTAGCGCTGCTTCCACCGCTGCCTCCTCTCCTCCTAAGACCCCGAGACACCGGCGCTGGAGCGGCGGCTGCTGCTTGCATACTCCCCCTATCCTTCCCGCCCCTCCCCTCGGTGACCTACCCACTCCTTGCAGCCCTCGCTGCACCTTCTCCGACACCCCAGCATCCCTGCACCACCTGCTCGGGCACCTCCTCCGGGCTCTAGGACTTGCTGTGCGCGCCGATATAAGGGCAAGCCCCGAACCCGTGCCTGGTAGACAGGCTGTCTCGGCTGCACCACCAGCAGGAGGAGAAGAAGAAACTATTTCGTCCACCGGCACCCCGTTCTGCGGGTGCTTCGCCGCTGCCGCTTCTGCTGCCGCCGCTTGGCGTCCGCGGGTTCGAACACCGCAGCGGCGCGGCGGGTGGGTCCGGCGGGCGCCTAGAGGAGGACACCCGCGGAGCCCTGCACTCTTGCGCCGCGTTCACCAGCATCTCCTAACCCCTTCGTTACTCCCCGAGCCTTTTGAGAAGGGACCATGATTTGGAAACGCAGTGCTGTTCTCCGCTTCTACAGTGTCTGCGGGCTCCTGCTACAAGGTAATCCCCGCCCCGCCTCGGGGAGCATCAACTTCACGCCCATTCCCCATCATCCCCACTCCACCCCATATTTCCTCTCTTCCACTTCCAGTCCCCCAGTCCCTGGCGGTTTCCAACGCCTTCCCCTGCTCCCGGGTGCGGCAGGGGGCAGTGGCAGTTTGCACCAGCCCCTCGAATATCTAGCGCTGGCTCAGCCCAGCTCTCCCGGCAGTCAACCCCTTCCGCGGCACCTTTCCCCTTTTCATTCACCTGAGCTTCCCATGTCTCTTGTTCTCCATCCCTGCTAGCAACATCCCCCCCCCACACACACACACACGCACTCACTCACACACAAGCCGTTTGGCTGACAACTTACGCCTTCTCTGAACATTCCATCCTCCCTTCAACCCCCACCAACTACCTCCCACATCACGCCCCTGACCGACCCTCTCCATCTCTTGTCATCTCTTTAACCTCCCCCCTTTCAGGGTCGTTTATCCTTTTCCCTTCTTCCCACCGTCATCGTATCCGTGTGTCTTTTAAAAAGTGTGTTAGAGCCTGGGAGCGAGCTACTGAGACGGCGAGAACAGCAGCAGCGGCAGCACCGTGTGCATTGCAATAACATCCCCCGGGGTTGGGGGGGGATGTGTTGTGAGACGTGTCATTCACCTAGGAAGAAAGAGGAGATCTGTGTCTGGGATTAAAAAAAAAAAAGAAGAAGGACAAGAAAAAGAAAGGAAAAATAAATGATTAAAGAAAGAAATAAAAAAGAGGAAGAGAGTAAGGGAAAATAAAAAGACCCAAACCCACTTTATCAACACGTTGACTTTTTATTATTCATTCTGTGTCGTTTTATTTTTTCTTTCTTTCTTTTTTAATGCAAAGGAATATTTGTACCTTAGTATTCACTTTACTGCCCAGGGATTTTCTCTTGGCTTCTCTCTCAGTCCTCTTTCTGCCGCTTCTTTCCGTAATTAATATTATCCTTTCACGTGAAATGTGAGAACCCCTGAGACCGCAGTGGAGGGAAACCGCAGAATACAGTTTTTATGCAAATCATTGGTTTGGATGTGGGATGGCTAGGGAATTGGGGTGCACTCTTCCCCAGACCCTCTCTTTTGAAGAAAAAAGGGAGGGAGTGTGTGGAATGGGAGGACGATGCTGATTATGAAATAAATGGCACTACGTGGAGTAGGAGTGCATAGGAATAGGACACTTTTGGGTGGTGGAGGAGGCGGAGGCGGCGTGCTGGGGGTGGGTGGGCAGAGCTATATGCTGGAAGATTGTTGCTTTGAAGAGAGTAATATAGGGATGTGGCTTGAGTGTAAGATATAGGGAGGATAGCTGTGAAATGATGGTTGATAGGGATTTTTTTAAAGCTAGGTGACTTGATTTCTTGATGAATGTTTGCCCACCTCTAACCCTTCAATCATTTTCGTGTTTGTGGAAAAGATAAGTTGATCAAATGCATCTGTCCCTGGGTAAAAGACATCAGAAAGTAAGACACACGTAGAATCACAGGCGTGCAAAACCCAGTCGGCCTTTGGAGGATTTAAATGAGGTCAATGAACCATCTTTCAGCAAGTTCTTGGAATGTATCCTCTCCCACCCTCCTCTAGGAGGGATATAGACCGGAGCCGTGTGTTATTTATGCATATTTATGAATGCGAAATAAGAGGCGGTGGACAGAATTTTCCTGAATTAACTAACTGACGTTGCAGAGATGTTTCTTAGAATATTTTGTGGTAATTTTGTGTGTTTTATGTTGGATGTAAATTTCATATATGTCATGTGCCAGAATCTCCAGGAAGGCAGACAGCACGTCCTCCCCGTTCACTCTGGTCCCATTTCCCACCGCTCATACCCCCTATCCTTGAATAAGTAATCCGGTGGCTGGCACATTACTTGTTATTTTAAACCGTGCTGAAACATCCTCCCAGAGACCCTAGTTCACCTCTTAGTAACTTGCATTTCTCAGCGTCGCTGTGTGTGTGTGTGTGTGTGTGTGTACGCGTGCGCGCGCGCGCTGGCGTGCGCAGGGTAGGGGGAGTGTGATGTGGGGGGAAATCAGTTAATTTGGTGATTGCGATGAAAATTCGACACCGCTGGATATGTTTTTCCCTGCCAATCTGTGTGTGCTGACCCCAGCACGTCATTGCACACACTGCCCGGCCGGTGCAAAAAGATTATTTATTATAGAGCATGTGGGTAATGGACTACACTTGGGGGTCGCCTCCTCTTTGCCTTCAACATTTCTCTATGAATTGTCTATTCAGTGCACTGCAAAATAACTGTCTGCTGGTGCCTCTCTCTCAGCCTGGAAGAGGATTTACTCTTCCTCTACCCCCTGAGATTCCATCAGTAGCATTCAGGACATGGGTTTCTTTTATTAAGTATGTAAACCAATGATTAAGACAGTGCTGCTTTTCACAGCAGGCTGGGGGGTGGGGACCGGGTGTGGATATGCCAGAGAAAATGCACCACTGCAACCCAACCAGCAGCAGTACCAGCAGCAGGTCCAGATAATTAAATAAATAAGCATCCTATACAGCAACCAGGGAAAAAGCACAAGCCCATCAATGTCTGTGTACTTATTAGTATCCTTGATCAGACTGTATTAATACACCAAAAGAGGGAAGAGGATTACACTAAGAATGGGGATAGGGGGGACAAAACACCACCAGATTGTCTTTTCATGTTTATGGCTGCCTCACATTTATCAAACCCTGCTCCACAGACACATCACACTTTGTTGATATTGTCAGTTCTTGCTCAAACAAATTGCTCATGCTTTCCTTGTCTTATTCTTGGCTGAAAACACTGCTTCAGGGTTCAGATTTATGTTTCTCCCACTACCTTACTGTGTTATTAGGGCTGAGTTAGGTTGTAAGATTAGGTTTGTTTGGTTTATTTCCTGGACACAGATTAAATACTTAGCAGGTTTTTCCTTTCTATGTACAGGGACAGAAGGGTGGTAGGGGGAATCGGTGAGTGCCTATTTAACTAAAGGAGTCTTCTCTGCCTGCTAGTAGTTATGACAAGGCAAATGATACAGTCAACAGCTTATTTTTGCGCTTTATCAACACTATGACAGTATTCTGTCACTTAAGTAATACTACTTTGCCTTTTTTACCTTTTTATATGCATTGTTTTACATCAGGTGACTCGTTTGAACTTATTTTCTTTGTGTTTAACTTCAGTGTTTTACACTGTAACCAATTTCTGTTTTTCCTGGAGTACAAAATCAGCTTTTTGACTTATTAATAAATAGGTACAGTGATAAACCAGTAGTGAGAATCAAGTCAGTTATATATATATATATATATATATAAGGCTCAAAAACAAATTTAAAAATGGCTTAAATGTTTGTACTCTGTAACATCTATGAAAGGGTGAAGGGTGTTTAGGAAATGAATATTTTGATAGAAAATAAACGTATATTTCTAACCAAAGAATGGGAGCTCTGGTGGCGTAGTGCCTAAGGCATTTGACTGATAACCAGAAGCCTGGAGGTTCAAACCCACCTGCCACTCCTTGGAAGGAACATTGGGCAATTTACTGCCTTAGTGATACTGCCTCTGAAACCCAAAGAGGGGTTGCTATGACTCAGCTCCTACTTGGTAGCAGTGAGTTACCAAAGAATAATTTGGAATGTAGACCACTGGGTAATATAATTTGAATCAATTTAAGTTGTAGAACACCTGTTCTTATTTTCCTCCATCACAGAAAGAAGGGAAACCTGAGTTAAGGACAAGGGACATTTTAGAGAAATAAATTTCTTTAGAATAATAGATTGCAAAACTTGCCGTCTGTAACTAAAACCTCTTCTTGGCTATAGAGTAGATCCAGTTTGGTTGCTAACACTCACAGAAGCTGTATCCCTTTCCATGCCTGAGGGGGCACTACAAAGATGGAGAACGTCCAGTTCAGCACAAGAAACAATACTAGAATGGGCAAGAATAGGGAAGAAACAGAAGGAAGGACAAAATATAATGAGAAATACACATCCATAGAGGATCTGAAATAATAAACTTTTTTTTTTTTTTTTTTGATCCTTTTAAGAGTTAGTCTTTTAAGAGGAGCTCTAGTGGTGTAGTGCATAAGGCATTTGACTGCTAATCAGAAGCCTGGAGGTTCAAACCCACCAGCCACTCCTCAGAAGGATGACTGGGCAATCTACTTCTGTAGAGATACTGCCTCAGAAACTCAAGGAGGGGTTGGTATGAATTGCAATTGACTCAATGGCAGTGAGTTTGGTTTTTGGTTTGTAAAAGTTAGTCTTATGCAAAAACATGCGTATTGGGGTTTTAGTGTTTTTGCTATGCAATAGTCTAGTTAATGATTTGTTATATTTAGAAGAATAATCTTCCAATCAATGATCAGTTGGACTTACATAATACTTGCTTCAGTAGGTGTTATTCTCCTTTTACAGTTTTAGGAAGCATGTTACAGCTTTGTCTCTCCCACTTTTACCTCTACATGTAATAATCTTAGTTATGTCAAGCTCATTTCTTATGCTGAATGCATTTCTTGGAATGTAACTCACTCCTCCCTTTTTGGATTAACTATGAAACTTTGAAAAGTAGAGTCTATATATAAGAAACAATGACTATGATATAAAACTTCGAACATTAGACACTTCCTCACTAAGAACATCTCCCTTGCAAGTAGGTGGCTTTTGCACTAATTATTTATCATCATACAGAAGCACATTTCATTATCTTTTTCCCATTTCTAGAGCTATTAGAACTCTGGGAACATATTATGACAAAGCTAAACATCATTTGAGATGGCCCTTTCCTGCATACTCTACTACAAGGTCAAATAATTTTGGTTTTGGTTTGTATTGGTGAGGGATTTAAATATTGAGATAATATATTTTTTCTTAAGAAAGTAGTCACTGTAATGAAGAACAAAATGGAAGTGCAGAAATTTTGGAACACACCCTGAGCATATATTTGAAAGTGTTCTGGAATCAACATGAAGCGGTATCAAATTTTCTTTAAAATAATGAGTCTACA